ACTCGTATCAAAATAAAGAAGATTTCAGTAAGAATAAAAATAAATAAACCCTCATGTTTATTGTAAACTTATTAAATAAAAACAAAAAGTAAAGTATAATTAAATTAATTTGAATTTTTTTTAATAATAGTAGCATTTATCCTAAGAAAATGTGATTGATCATTATCAGATATTTGTTCAATTGATTGTCGAAATAATTGAGCTTTTTGCCAAGCATTATCATCATTATTATCATTTGAACTTTTTAATAGAACTTTAAAACCAATTCTATTAATTGATAAAGAATTTATTGTCTCGTCTATAATATATTCAAATGATGAATTAGAATCTACATTTAAAAGAAAACAATAAGAAACTTTGAATAAAATAAAAATTAAAAAAAAAACAAACAATACTTTGTGGTAAATCAATAGTTAGTTGATCTCCAATTTCTAATTGACAAATAACTTGAGAATATTGATCAAAAGTTGTTGATGGACATTGAATTTGAATTCGATGAAATTGATAAGAAAGTTCTTGTTCAGATTTCAATTGTATAAACCATGATAGAATTCCATTTTTATTTAATTGTTTTCTTGATAAATAAACCATTTTCCAATCTTTTTCGATTTTTCTTTGAATATTTGAAGATAAATAAACTTTATCAATCCATCCATCTTTTTTATTTTCTTCAATTCCATTACGAAAATATTTATCTAATACAGAATTATATTCAATTGAGATAAAACCTTTTTCACATTCTTCATTATTTATTAAATAAATAAATCCATTTGTTATATCATCCTGAAAATATAAATTCTATCAACAAATAAAACTAAATTAAATAAATTAACTTGTTGATCTGTTTCTCCTCGTGCTAATTTCCATGAAAGTGAACCACTTTGTCTTCCATGTAATTCACTTTCTTTTGTTAATTTTTCTTCATTGAACATACTAACGAGATCTTCAATTTGACTATTAAAAAAACAGAAAACAATTTTAGAAGTAAAAAACAAAAGCAGTTGAAATAAATATATACATGGAAATAATTTTGTTTTTTTCTTGTTGATTAAGTTGTAATTGAATTTTTCGATTAATTCGAGAAATTATTTTTGCAAACATATATTCATTAATATTTCGTCTTTGTATTGTTTGTTTAAAATGAGTAACATATCTCCAAGTAACATCTTCAATATGATCTTTAGCAAAAGCAATACAATATGATAAATTTTTTTTCCATCCTTTTTCATAAATAAGTGGAGAATCACAAACATTTTCACATGAATCACAATGAAGCCATCGACGTTGATTTTCCGAATAAACTTCAGTCCAAACATGATCAGTTGTATCATATATATAACGACTTTTAAATGATAATGAACGACAAAGACAAGTAAAGAGATTTGCAGCTTCACCACAACGACCACATCGAGTCTCTAATAACTTTAATGGAGCATTGAAACGAGGAAAACGATATTCAGATGAACAAGTTGAACATCTTTTTAAAATGATTTTTAAAATATTTGTAAATTAGAAAAAAAAAAAAGATTATTTTGTATTTTACTTATAAAGTTCGACTTTGTGTGCATCTCCTTTGTCTCGTTCTTCTCTTGTTGGTTGAACATATTGAAAAAAGTCCATAGATTTTTGACATCGATCACAATTAGGACGATCAAACCAAGTGAAAAATTCTTCTTTAAACCATCTTAATAATTCAAGTAATAATAAATCACGTTTATCAATATCTATTTGATTTTTTCTATTAGAAATTCTTCGATTAAAATCTTCTAATGGAATTATTGACGAACGAATATAACGACGAAGATTAATATCTTCATAAGATTGAACTTGTTTTAATGTTGATAGAAATGGAATTAATTTATTATATGGAGATGGAATACGAATATTATCAAATGAGATAAATATATTTCCTGATATATCATCATCAATTATTCCAAGATCTATTATATTAAATTGAAACTAAAGAAATTTTTTTTTCTCAATATAAAATCTTCATAATAAATATTCACTTGTTTAGATTGATCAATAGGTTTGAAATCAAGTTCGTTCTCAAGTAATTTAATTATTTCTTGTAGTTGTTCATTTGATGTTGTTTCATTGAATACATATTCATCATTTACCTATATTTTATTTCATCATAGTTAGATTTATTCTTATTCTTATTTTATTATGTATTATACTAATTAAAACTACTTTATCTATTCGATTTTAATCAAGGTTAACTAAGATTTCAACTGAAGAAAATACTAAAGAGGATTTCTTGAATTTATTCGATAATGACAAATATTTGTTTTCATATTCTTCATTTTTATTATTTGTAAAAGTATGATTGAAAATGTCTTATCTCATTTAATATAAAACAGTAAATTTCTACAAATAAAAAATCGATTGAAACAAAATCTATCGAATTTTTTTCAATTCTTTTTCTTTCTGATTTATCTTTCCTTACCTATGAAGACATTACAGATCTTTTTCAAGTAAAAATCAAGTTAGTTTTGTTAAAAAATGCTTTATTATTGATGAAAAAAAAGATCAAAATCTAATGATTGTTTTTTCTTTCTTAATAACTGAAATTTCTCAAAAAGAACAAAAACAAAAACTTCTATCATTCATATGCAATAGTTCAATATGTGATAATCAAATACAATGATGACATTTCACACTTAGAATAAAAGAAGTTTTGTTGTAAAATTTCTCTAATTGTTAAAAGTATATTTATTGATCATATAAATTGTGTGTTAATGTAAACAACTGCTGACCTAAGTCAGTTAAATGAAACTCTCGTTTTTGAAATGTTTTGTTAAGAAAATAACAAATAAAGAATAAAATAATCTATTCAACAAATTTTACATTGATAACGATTGAAAAAACATTCTATGAATATATTTATTAGTCTTTTAAATAAAAACTAAACATATTGAATATCTCTATTGAAGATGGATTAACGTTAACTATTTTTCGAACTCGTAATGAATATATTTAGATTAAAAATCTATAATTGATGAATTTTATAATAAATTCAATTGAAATGTATTTTATATTAAAATAAACTATTAGAATTCAGTTTCGTTTCCTATGAAAAATTCATTAAATAGTGAAATTTATCAATAAGAAATAAATCGAATTGTTAAAAAGTATACACAAAAAATAACGGTATATGATCTTTGAAAGAAATATTTTCAATTGAAAAGTTTCATTGTTAATCTTTATCTATATCTTAAAATATTGTGTATCGAAATAAATTCAAATGATATGTTATATATGTGAAGAACTTTCATTGTAAAATAGTTTGAATATCTAACCTGTTTAAATCCGATTTTTTCGATACACATCATAGCTTGAGAATATTTTTCAAAAACATCTTGAACATAATTAGCAGGTAATTTATTATGTCGATGATTATTTCTATCATTAATTAAATTTGAAACAATATCAATAAGAAGTGTTATTGTAACAATTCGATCATCTTCATCAGTTATTTTTCGTAAATTATTTATAAAAGATAAATCCATTTTATCTGGAATATAACAATTTTTTTTTATGATTATTAACAATAAAAATCTATATTTAGAAAAAGAATCGATTAAATAAATAGTTTTAAAAAAAAAAAAGAAAAAAGATTAAATTTATATTTCAAAAAAAGAAAAGAAAAGAAAAGACGATGAAAGTCACTGATAGGGAATGTTTCTAGCACCGAACAAAATAAAGACTAGAATTGAGTTATTTCTTCTAAAGGACTTGATTTATTATCATGACAGGAAGAAACGGCATTAGTATTCGTTGTTTGACCTGAATCAATATTCGAATTAGCCATTCGATTATTTCTATTAGAATTCAATTTCGTAAAATGAATATCATCATTTGATGTTGAGTTAACTGATAAGATTTCTTTTGATGTTATTTTATCATCTTCTTTTGTTTGAGAAACATCTTGTTCTTTAATATTATTTGAAACTTTCGAACGATATTGTGAAAAAATTGGTAGACCATTTGGATTATCTAACAAATATTCGACACTTCCATGACGATGAGAACTTTTATTATTTGAAGTTGGTGATCTTGATACTAGATTTTAATTGAAAAAATAAAATTAAAAAACATATAAATTAATTGTATTAGTTATTCGAAGTCAATAGTAAAAGCAAAGATAATATTGATTTTGAAAATATTCTCATATAAATGAAAGCGAGCAAAAGAAAACCTTTTTCAGAAAACAAAAATGGTTTGAAGAAATTGTTTGATTGATTGATAAAAAGATTCAAATAAATTCTCAATAGTAAAAAATGTGTTTTTTTTTATCTTTTGATTAAAATAAAAATAACCTATTATTTGTTCTAAATGAATATTATCTTTTGATATATCTTCAATATTGTTTTGTCGATTATATGTTGACTCGATTTGAACTGGCATTTGTCGATCAAATGGTGCATGAGGTGCTCGTTTTTTGTGACTTATTTTTGGTGATCTTAAATAAATAAATTTTCTTCAAATATAATTCTTAAATAAATTAACTAACGATTGTGATAATCCTGTTATGGATTGAGTATCAACTAAATTTTCATTTGAACCAGTATAACTTTTCTAAAAATAAACACAAAAATAAAATAAATTTAAAAAAAAAAAAGAAACTAATTTACAGATTGAATAAATGTTGGAATAAGATCAGGTTGTGATTGATATAATGTTTGATTATCTTGTTCAATATCAATTTGATTATTTAATGGAAATAATTGTTTATTATATATAATCATAAGTTCAACAATAATTGAACTAATTGTATAAGTATTCGACATAGATAAATTCGATGTTTGCTCTTTTGGATATAGAAGACTACCTCCAATACATATACCTAAATTACTGGCTGTCATTTTATTTACAGATGAATATTCAGCAACACGACTTAAAAATCGAATTAGATAACTAAAACAAACAATTAATTTTAATAAATAGTTTTTTTGTTTTCGTTAATTAATTACTAACCAAAGATTATCATAATTAACTCGAGGTAATTTATTTATTAATTGACTTATATGTCGAATACGATCTTCATCACTACTAAAATATAAAAACATATTTTACTTTATATTTATCATAAATAATAACCTAAGTAATATAATTTGATTCCATTGTGGTAAAAGTGCATCAGTAAGTAAACAATCAGGAAGTTCTCTTAAATATTGTTTAAGTGTAGCTGCTGGTACATGTGGATCATAAGTAAGATCTCGTAATTTAATATTTTTATTAATAATTTGTAAATCAAGTTCAGTAACAAATTTTTTTTGTTTAGCTTGTTGTGGTGCAATACGAAAAAGACCTTCTTCTTCAATAGAATTTTCTAATAAATAAAGAGACATTTCAATTGGATAAGCTATTGGACGATGAATTCTTTTTAAACAATGTTCAGATAAATCACAATGAAATGATGGAGCTAATTTATAATTATCTAAACGATATTTTATTTGTGGTATTCGATTAAATAAATATAAATGAATATCATTATAAAATATTTGTTCTTCAGTTAAATATTTAGCAAAAAATTGACAACTAATTAAATATTCTTCACTAGCAATACGATTTGTTTCTGTAAAATAAATATCACGATTTGATATTCGACTTTGATCACATTCTATATAAATTTCTTCTAATTCTTGATAACGTTCATCATAATTTGGAATTGTTACACGATCAGATCGAGTTCGAAATCTTTAAAAAACATAAAAAAACATATGAACATCTTTTTTTTTCTTTTTCTCAAATATAAATAATTTCTTTGAACAAACTTTTTAAAATTCGCTTCAGCTGTTTCAAATTTTCGTTGTGCACGTTCATAATTATCACGAAGTTCTGACATTGTTTGTCGAATAGATAACTATTTAAAATAATTTAGTTATTGTTAACAAAAAAGAAAACCAAATACTTGTTTTTCTTTGGCTTGTTCGGTAATTTTTCGAAAATTTTCAAACCATTCTTTTCTTCTAGTATCAATAAATTCATGTATTTCTATTAAATCATCAATAGTTGAATTTAAAATTGATGGTGAACCATATTGTCCATCTGAATAATGATATAATTGTGCAACATCACTCGAACGAAACTCTTTAAATGCTTTTAATATATCACTATCAAGATTTTTATTTAACTAGAAGAATTTGTTTTTGTTGTTTTTACTTAAATAATATTATATTAATTTATTTTAATAAATTAACTTACAAAATCTTTGTCTGTTTTCCAAATATCAGATAATACTTTACATGAATCTCGAATATAACGAACACGATTGCGAAACTCAGGAACTTCGTCATTTCTAAAAATTTTATGTACAAAATTTTTTTTGTTTTTCCTTTCTATCAAATCTTTTTTTTTTTATCATATTCTACTAATTCTATTCAAAGATATTATTAATTCAAAAAAGTTTTTACTTATTGTAAAATAATTAATTAAAATATATCAGTTTTTATAAATTGATGAAATTATATTTTCTATATAAAATCTATCTTTAACTTTCGTTTGACATATTAACAATTTGGAAAAAAAAATTGATTTAACATTTTTTTTTTTTTTTATTTAATTTTTCATCAAAGAAATTTTTCGAAAATGATATCATCTGTTTTTTTTTTTATATTAATTCAATTTATAATTTTTGTTTTCTTATCAAAAAAGATGATTGTTGACTTCAATCTATGGTATAAGAAAAATCCCATTGTACTCAAAAGACAATCAATTATCGTTAACACTTTATATTATATTAATCATATTAAGATTGTATTTTCTAGCTTTATCTTTCAGTCTAGCATTGTTATTGATAATGTGATCATATGCTATTATTCAATGATATTTCATCATTCTTTAGCTAATATTATAATAGCAAAACATTGATATGTTAAAAACAGTTAATTATAGGACAAGACAAACAAAAGAAGGCACGAAAATCCAATAGAGAAACAAAAGAACTGTTTCAAGTAATAAATCATTTTCGAGTTTCAACTCGATGACTAAGATAAAATATAATTATATATAAAAAGTGTTAAAATGACTTAATACTCTTAATATATTTCAATCTAAACTCTTACTCATAGTTTGATCTATTTATTATTAGAATATTCTGAAAAATTTCATTCAACAAGAATTTTTCTTTTTTTTTTCACGATATATCGAATTTCCAAATATTTAATATTCTCACATCCAAGATGATAAATGAATCATTGTTGGAAATTCAATATTGTCTATTATCAAAAAAGAACAGGTTAAAACAAATGAACAGAAAAATTTAACACATCGAAACTATACTGTTATAACATCATTTTAAGAATGATAAAATATTCTAGAATAATAGAGTATAGTCTTAGTGTTATAACAAAAATCTTTCGAACAATATTAAATAGATCTTATTAGACAAGTTGACTTTGTTTTTATAAATAATATAAAGAAATTTTTCAATATTTAACTTAGAATCAACGATAATTAAAGACATATTTTTATATAAAATTTCTCGATAAGATAATAATAAAAGTTAATATTTATTCTAAAAAATAAATAATATTTAATGATGATGAATCATAAAAGATTTTTGTAATATAATCTTTTGAATAAAACATCAATAATAAATATATTAAACTCACTTATTGCCATTGAAAAATGGCTTGATTATATTCATCTATAGAAAAAATAAAAAAACAAACAAACAATTATTAATATGATTTATTAATATGAAATTAAAACAATAAATATTAATGTGATTTGTATTAAAGAATATTAATATTAACACTCGTTCTCACCAAAGGATTTGCCGAAATAATAGTAGCTCGTCTCGATCGTTGTTCCAATGTCGATTCTTGATCATGATTAGGGTTAGAAGATAGAAAACTATCAATAAATGAATTTTTTCTATTCAATGCCATATTACTTAACAAAATAAAATACCACACCAACAAGAAAAACGAGAAAGAACTAAATTTATTCGGCAAGGTACCTAATGTTTACAGACTAGCGACGTCTCTTTTTTTTTTTTTTTCTTTTTACTTTTTGCATCATACATAACTTGCTTATATTCTCATCATTATACACTTTTTTACTCTCAGGTGAAACATTAAAACGACAGAACAGAATCGAACAGAACAGAAGAAAAAAAAAACGATTAAAATATGAGAAGAGAAGCACAATTGGCCTTTTTTTTTCTTTTCTTTTTTTTTTTTCTATATAAATTAAATAAAAGATTAAATAAGATCAATCGAACTAGGAAATCCATTGTCTATTTCACCCGATTCATTTATTTGTTCGCCTGATAAATAATAACTTAATTTATAACTAAGACGAACTGATTCCTAAAAAAAAATAAATAATTTCATACATAAAAAAATAAAATAAAAATAAAAAAGTGATTGACTAACTTTATTTGGATTTGATATAATAATAATCTGTGTTATAGCTTGTGGTGGTAATATCGGATTGTATACAGGTAAATCACTAGACGATGGATTTTGTAATTTGATTCGCATATTCTTTAATAATAATATTATTCTTCGAATAAATAAAAATGCAAAATATTTACTTTGGATACAGCTGCTTGAAAATGAAAATGATCAATTGTATTTGAAGTATTTGTATTAGTAACAGTTAATACAGAAACAATAAGATCAGAACGTGGAGAATCTCGAGCAATATGAATAAGACAATGAAGACCTGTTTGATGAGTTAATTTAATATTTATTGGTGGATTTGTTGATGATGGACGTATAGATTCAAGTGATATTATTGGAAATGTTAATTCATTTTCTAAACATTTTGATGATGAACTATTTTTCATTTCATTTAATGGAATTTTATTTGAATTTGAATTTGTTGATTGAAATGAACTAAAACAAATATTTATATTTCAATAAAATATTTTTATTAATTTAAAATACCTTTTAGTTGATATTTTTTGGCCTGTTGATTGATCAACAAGAAGATCTTGTAAATCCTCAAAAAGTCCACCTCTTTTTGTTGTTCCTCCTTCATTTTTATTTGTTATTGATGAGACTTTATTATAAATATTTATTTATTTATTATTATAAAAAACTAAAATAATTAAAATTACTTTGATTATTCGTTGTGTTGATATTTGTATTTGTTATTGGAAAAATAGGTAAACAATCATCAAGTTGATCAACATTTTCAGATATATTTGATGTTAATGATAGACTATTAATTTTATTATCCGAATTTATTTTAATTGATCCAAATAATTCATCAAGTTCATTTGTAGCAGATTTAATATCATTTGTTTTATTTGATGAATCTATATTAATTAGATTTATTTAATAAATAAATATTAACAGATTAACAAATAAAATGCAGCAATTTTTTAAAATTTAAATATTAATTTGAATTATTCTTTGTCTGATATTTATCTTAGAAGTTTTCTCCATGGTCAAAGTAAATAATTAATAATCTTTAGATCTATATATTATCAATTAATTAATTATCTTTAATCGATATTTAATAGAATTCTTGTTATTATATCAATTCAAGAATATGTTTTTGTTTTTAAACTCGATCTACTCATTCAAATAACTAAATCTATGTATCTATTTTAAAAAATGAATCATTCGAGATCTTCTCCTAAATGATGTTCATCAATTTTTAATTCTTAAATAAAATTAATTCGAATAAAAATATTGATAATTGCTGCATTTTATAATAAAATGACAATTAAACTAACTATTTGATATGTCAGCTAAATCGATTAATGTATGAGGAATAGAATTTGTTGACATAGGTGGATTATTATCAAATAAAGGAAGAACATTATCTAAATAAATATAATAATATATTTATTTGTTTTATTTAAGAATTTAAAATCGAACCATCTTTATTATAATGATCTTGTGTAACTAATCTTTCATATTGTGATAATACTCGTGATAATGAATCACTTGCTAATAATATTTCACCTAAAATAATTTAAATTAAAAAAAAAAACTGAAATAAAACAAAAAACAAACCAAGTCCTTCATCTCCATCTTCACTTTCTGTTGCTAATCGAAATAAAACTGGTCGAAATTTTTCTAATTCATCACGTAAATACTAAAAATAAACAAATAAAAACATAAAGAAAAAATCTAAGAAAATACAAACACTCATCGTTTCTTTTTCAGCTTCAGTAACAGTTGAATGATTGTAATGAATAAGCATTTCAGATAAAACTCGAATATTATTTTGAACTTTTTCTAATTCAATTGCTCGATTTGATAATTTTTCAATTTTTTCTTCATCCTATATTAAAATAAATATATTAAACAAACAAACAATGAAAATTCTATAAAATTATCAAACCTTTTTTACAAGACTTTTAATTAATGCATTTGCTTGTTCAAGATCTTCAGGTTTTCGACTTTTTAATAAACGTTGAAGAGTCTTTAAAATAGAAAATTTTTTTTTTTTTTGTGAAGAAAAAAAACAAAATTAGTTTTACTTTGCTTTTTTCTTGATCAGTATCAAATATTGATTTATTTTTTTGTGATAAAGGTGTTATTGTTGGTTTATTTATATAAAGTGGATCTTCAGTTATTATTGATTGACGTTTTAACATTTGATATGCTTCATTTATTTTAACTTCATTCGGTAAACTTTGTGTCCATGTATATAAGAGTTCAATTACTTTTTTTTTAACCTTTTCTGATGTATGATTGGCTAAATACTAAAATTAATAAAAAAACAAAACTAATATGTTTTTTTATTAAATTTAAATAAATCTTACTTTAGGTGAAACAAGTTTAATCATTTCATTAAGAAAACGAAATTTTCCTATTTCTTGATGAAATCTTCTTCCACAACTTTGAACACAAACATCAAGTAATTCTAATGTTCTTAATGCTTCATGTTCTTGTGGTGATTGAATTTTATGAGCTATTAAACGAATTGCTTGATGATGACCTTCAGGATCTGCATTTACTTTTGAACAAAATAAATTCATTAAATTTGGATCTGCACTTTTATGAATCGGACTTGTTGCTTTAACTTAAATAAATAATACTTTTTTCATTAAACATTTTCTTTTTTTTTATATTTAACTTTTTTCATAACTATTTATTAAATTAAACATCGAACTTATTCTTATTAGAAAATAATTTACGATTCTGAGACCCTTTTTTTCTTTTTTGGATGTTGACGTTCTTACAATGCATTGAAAAACAACTAATCATTACTTTTTAATAAAGTTTTTTAGTAAATTTTTGATCTCTAGATGTGTTATTAAAGAATTTCGAAGAAAATATTTTGAAGTTATAGTTTTCGATGTAAAAACATTCGAAAAAATCTTATTTCTGTTTGATCTATATTTATTGTTGGTTTCTAATAGAAAACAATCGAAATATTTTCACGGTTCTATATGTTCAGAATAAAAATCTACTTTGGACAACATTATTTTACAAAATGAACTCAAAAATATCGACAATTAGTAGTTGCAAGTCATTTTCTCGTAAACACTACCTTCAACAATCTTGAAAAAGTCATTAAGAGGTATAGAGCATTATATTCTCTACTATCGACTTTGATGATCAACAACTTTACAAAAATTCATAAGTCTCAGAAGAATATAGAAATTAGTGATGAAATGATTGAGTAGACACCAATTTTTTTTTTAAATTTATCTCTGACAAGGAAAAATTTGTTTGAAAAAACAAAGTTGACATTTTAGTAAAGATTGAAATTCTATATCTTTCGGCATACATAGATCACTTTTTATTCTTTGGAAATTAGAGAAAAAAAGCACCAACATTTAGAGTAATTTAGTTTGAGATACTTCTTAGAAAAAAAACAAACTTTTGTATGATTGATTCTGTCGTATTTTATATTGAACTTGGATATAAATATCAGAATGTTACAGTTAAACTATTCACAATCAAGTTTTGATATAATTCAATAAATTGTTCGATTGACTAATTACGAAAAAGTGTTTTA